CCGCTTTACAACAGACGGTTCTTAAACTCATTCCGAAGTCAAAACCATAAAAAGTTGTAAACACGGTATATCGTTCGGCGAGGTTTACTGGTACGTATTTAACTACATAGATAGAAATGAATAAATCTGACAATGCAGCACTCGTTATCTCGTACTACATGGTACATGGTACATTTCATTTTTAATTTTCATTTTCATTTGTTAAGAATATTACGGTATTTCTGTTTATTATTGGGTTGACTAAACAGACAGCGGATGCATGGCATCGGTCTAACTGAACCTCACGCTTTTAAGCTGAATCGCTTATCATTCGTATCAAAATGCGTACCCCGGGGATTTACCCTTCCTATAAAAGTGTAACTAGCAACCACAATGCCAACAACTAAATAAATGTTCAAATGGAATGGAAGCATTTGGCTTAAAATTAGTAAATATCGCACTTCGATCAAAGAAATTAAAACATCCAAAACACTCACCAGCAGGGTTTTATCGAGGTTTTATAACCGCTCTGAAATTCTTCTAAAGGCGCACCAAAATATGAAATATAACATAATTAATCGTTCCCTTGTGATTATTATGGTGTCTTCTCCATTTTCAATGTCACTGTCATTTCAGTGCATTTATTTAAGTTGCCACAAGTATTGTTCAAGATGATACAATTAAAAGAGTGTCCTGTTATTGCACTTCGAAATATTAATTGTCTTAAAAAAAAAAGAAATATGAAAAAAAACTGCTGGATGGTAGTGGAACATGTAAACACATGCTTTTTCGTTAAATTCTGACTCATTTTGATTGCCATCAAATACGTTTTTATAATATTATAGGAAATAAATTTGTAATGAGTATAAATTTTGCTACAAGCGCACTAACCAATCAAGTTAGTTTAGATCCCAGTTAATAGCAACCGGACTAAAACAGCCGCATACTTTAAACCTGGCGCATCCACCAATTCTACACTAGGAAATTTGTAATGTACCATAATAAATATTTACTTATCGATCGGCATTTGAACTTTAAAATTTAATTACTTTGAAACGCCAAATTGCATGTACACTATATTTCCGCTCCTTACCCCTGCAATCTTCTCCGCAAGTAGTTTTGAATTATAGTTACTAAATTGTTGTTATACGCGTTACATTAACCTAAACAACTGTAAACTCACTACCTACCGAATAGGTTTATCAAAAGTTTTGGTATTTTGGCAGCGTTTAAGTTTTTTAAAGCGTGGGCACCCAAATAATTAATAGTTAAATTAGCTCGTGCATAAATTTGTAAAAATGTTACCTGTTAAACTGTAGAATAATTTATTCTAATATCCAATTTAATAAATTTTAATACTTTTACAGTCCACCAATAAATTAAAATTTATTCGTTAAAAAAAATATTCTACCCGCGCACCAGTCACGCACAGTAAAAAGTTTATATATTTTATTAATTATCTCCTTTTCCCACAATATTCCCTACTTCAACACCAAATGTAAACTGCCCAACTTCCGGCCAGCACTCTATTATATTTTATAATTACATCCCGTCTCGTGTGAAAGATTGCAAATTGTAATAATTCCAACGCGATTACATGCAGAGATTTTTAAACGAATTGGAAAATCGTATCCCATTGTCGCGCATGCAATTATTAATACGAAAATAACAATTGAATTCCAACAGAGTGCGATTTAATAGTCTGATAATTAGAAATAGGAAATTAATCGATAGTAGGCAAAAAAAGTCACTCGACCGTGACAGGACTCGAACCTGCAATCTTCGGATCCGAAGTCCGACGCCTTATCCATTAGGCCACACGGTCATGTTTTCTATTACGTTTCAAGTGGATAAAACGGAACAGGCAGATAAGTTATGAAAAATATTTTAATAAATAATAGGCCACCAATGAAACGAATCAATCAATAATAAAAATAATTAATAACTACGACGGTTAACGTGTACATCACGAATTTAACACGAGATTGAATTATCAACCTTAAACAATTTTTTTTAAAGAATATTACTGCCTTAATTGCCGCTTGGGTTTTCCGACGATGTTGATAACATTCCTTGACTAATTACAAACAAGTTTTAAATCGGAATTTTGAACATCGCAATCCGCACAATAAACGGAAAATGAATGATTTATATGAAGAGCGCTCCTATCGATTTTCTGTCTAGCAACGTGAAATATGCGTCTGCCGGCACCTGAAATGGACTCCGGTGGAGAAGAAATAGACTGTCGGGTTGCAGGCTTAGAATGTTAAATCGAAATTAGAAAGATAATATCGAAAACTTATATACAGGGAAACTTTTAAAGTAGAACGTAATTATATAACTGACATTATAATTTATTATTATTACCATTCAATTTCTAATAATGCAAACTGATTTTATGCCTCACAATAATCAGTAGGTTGGATTATTTAGGAATTTTTTTCAAATGAAAAATGTATGTGGTCAAATTTGTATTCGACTTTCATCAGTGGTAAAACACGCAGAAAACGAAGATGGATGATGGGAGACCACAAGAACGAAAGAGATAACTAAGGACCTTACCGCGAAAGGCTTGAAGGGAAGAGGAACTTTTCGCCACTGTTCTGGGATTAAAACCAAATACTAATTTCATTTTTAGCGAATTTTGGTTGGTTTAGGTTGGATTAAAACCAAATAATAATTTAATTTTTAGAGATTTTTGGTTGGTTTAGGTTGGATTTACTATTTGCAGCACTTCATTGATTGTCGTCGCTCTTGATAAATAAAACGCGATATCAAACTAAAATATTATTTTGTAGAAACTTTTCAAACTATGTAAATGTTAGAACTCTAGTTTTCGTTAGTTTTGTTTAGCCATCTTTGGCATTTTTTTTTTCAACATATTTCAATTTTAAGCGTTTTTATTGGTCATATAATTGCTTACCGCCCCAGAATCGCACGCTTAATATTATAAATGGTTTTTGAAGTATGGTTTTATAACTTAAGCTCACCGAGTTATGTGTGACGTGACAGTCAGAATTGTGGACCGTCAGTCTCCGATCAAAACATCCGATCGATTCTAAAGCTCTAGCTAAAATACCGGAAATGGCGTAACGAAGCTGACATTTCGATCGCTTGATCTGTGCATAGTTAAGATTTTCCGGTGAAATTTCAAATTCTTTAGATCTTGTCCCGGTGAGAACTTAATTCCCAAATCTCTGGCTCCACTCTGTCCACCTTCCACAGATTAATGGATAATCCGCTCCTATCAGAGGACCGTCAACTCATATGTCCTCTTTTGATCCTTCCCTTATTCGTCGCTTTATCATTCTTACTGGTGTTGCTGTTTTCCTGCCTGTGCCTTCGTGTACAACGAATGTTTCTTGCACAAGTGCGTTTTCAAAAGGATAAAGGATAAGGACTTGGTGGAAATTCGCACTCTATACCACCAATATGAGGGCAAGATGTAATAGTCATTTGTCAAAATTTGTTCAAAAACATCATCTACCCAAAACGTTATGTAAAAAAAATAAGTAAAGTCAATGAAATTTCCCCAATCTCTTAGTATTTACTTTTTCTTTAGTTATAGGATAAGTATTTAGGATCAAATCAGAAATATAATTCTATTTTTAAATGTTTCTTCGTCAAAATTGTAATAGTCTTAGCAACTCCTAACAATAATAGTTACTAAATAAAGCAAATATAAAAGACTATTGATAAAGTGAAAACATAGGTACCTACTTTGCTAACGGGCAATAAAGCCTAGCAGTGGCGTTTTTTTCTAGGTAATTTTTCAAAATGAGCTTAGATATCATTAAATGAAATTGAAAATGAATTTTTTTTTATCAATATTATTATGTGAAAACACCTGCGCCGACTTGATGATATAACCAATGGCAAGATAACTATGATTCTGCCAAAACATTATGTCATTTCCATTGTTTTATTAAAGTTGAACTATTTTTCACGCTTTTATTGGGTTTCTATAAAGAACAGTATATTATCTTCATTTTAGGTGTGAGTATTTCTTGAATTTTCGAGAACGATAATAAGAAATATTATAGAAAAGAAGCATACAGTTATGTTCTCACCAAATACCAAAAATTTAAATAATTTTGTCACTTGGGCAAAATTATGTGTTGGTGTCCATTTCCTTTCAAAAATTACTAGAATTCTAAAAGCCTTTTGCTGATTATTGAACCATATTTCGAGCTGATCATATTTTATGTATTCTACAATGTATTCTTATATAATATAAATTGTTGTTGGTATGTATTGTTGCCCAGAAGACACAAATAATCAATCTGCGATATGATTGATGAGTTTACTTAAACTTCTGGGCAATGGCAAATGGCATTCTCCCAGATTCATGTCTGCTCCAAATTACATTTGGAGTAGAATTATTGTCCATACACAACAAAAACAATTTAGTGGATGTTTGCGTGATATTGGAAAACATTTTAAAGCAAAATAAACATAAAATAGCTAAAAGAGTTAGATTAGACATATTACAAGAAAGGAAATATGCAATATCACATTTGCAATTATATATTTCCATCTTTTTTCACTACGAGTTTTGATATTTGCGTATTGAACGTTTTTCCTTTTCCCAACCTGCAAATTTCATTTTTGTACTTGTCTTCTAGACGATATTTTAGAAAAATTACAAAACCCAACTATTGAAATTAGTTGTAGCGTTGAGGAAGTTTTTGCAGACATTTTATAGATGCCAATTCAATGGAAAAGGTCTCTATGATCTCTCTATGAACATTTTAAGTATTATGTGCTGCAGGGGACGTGCAGGTGAATGTGTGAAATTTAAATTTAGAAGTATGTGCTGAAAGTCATGTCCTTCACCGTACTTTGACCCCTATATTACATTTAATTTAACTTTGAGTGGTCAGTCGATGGTGGGTGGAAAAGGTCCACACCGCCGAGGTCCAATAATACGATTCGCGCTACTGCCGCTACCACTACCGGCCCGAAAACTTTCGTTTGTTTCGGTTTCGCGCCTCCGTCAGTCAATCCTCCGACGTCGCGACGCCAGCATCGCGTTACGTGAACGTCGCGAAGATTTATTTTCGTATTGTGTTTACGCCGGTGACGTTGTTATCCTGCCTTCTTGATCCGCAAACGCGTGGGCAAACGCAGTGTCACTGCACTCTCGACGCACCGTATCTGTGGTGCGATCGAGTTCCGTGGTCGACGCACGTAGGTCACTTGATTTCGGTGGGTTTTAAAACGCAGTGTTTCAGGCCAGTGTAATTCGTGGGTGACATTTCGTTTAATTGAAACTATACCTTTCTCTAACAAAAGGAAAGAGTACAATATTATTGACATAAATTTTTTGAAATCTAAAAATTAAAATTTGATTTGTTTTTCGGCAATGTAAACTGTGGATTTCGTTCCTGACGAGAATATTAACAAATCCAATGAGTTTAGCAATAAAGCAATAACTATATCTGCCCCTTTCAATGGTACAGTAAAATTTAGATGGCAAATATGGCAAAAGCGTTAAAAATTCTGATATAGCAAGAATATAATTTCTAACAGGAAAGATCTGTTTAATTTTTTATATTTAAAGTGTTGTTCGTATAATTGGCAACAATTGATTTAAAGAAAAACCCGATGACAACTTTATGCCAGCTTTAATATAGCGATTTTTCTATTAATATTAATTTCAATTATTGCCTCAAAAATTTATGCATTTCCCTTTCCTTTTGAATCACCCTGTATAGTTTTTTGTCGTTGTTTCTACGTTGAAAGAGGTATAAAAAAAATATGCAAAAATAATCCGAAAGTGATGGCGACACGAAACATGCAATAATATGCCACTTTTCCAAAAACGGCAAATATTTGAGATCGACGCTACTTCATTGCCTGTTGAAACGACCATCATAAAAATTACAGTTTGTCAAGTTTCGCAGGGAATATCTTATTGAAATTTGACTAACCACTTTAATAACTGTTACTGTTTCTGCTGAATTGATTGCTACATTCAAATATTACTAGTATATAAGATTTAAATTTACAAAATCAATAAAATTACTTTATCACACTTGACGTTTCGTTAAAGTAGCTTTTGGACTCACAAATACAGCTTGATAGATAATGTCATATCATAAAAATGGTATTAAAATACAACGAAAATACCGAAAACCTCAAAAATACATTGAGGATGGGTCAAATTGGGAATGTTTAATCGTCTCTAAATTTTCATAAAAAAACTAATAAAAAATCGTTTTATTAAGGAAAATGAAAATAATGCACTTCCACAGAATTTTTTCGCATTAAGTACATCGTTACCCACAAATACTGGCCAAAAGAAAGTCCGAGAAAGGTAAGAATAAACGGAACAACAAAATGACCCAACAAAATATGGTCGACCTTTGTCGTCTTCAAATTATTATAGCACCTCGTCATTCATAAACGCGTTGGCGCGCACAGACAGCGGAGGTCAAGAACATTGTAAAAGCTGTCGGCGTTTTAGTTTCGTTTGCTTTTTATTGTTCGCTTATAAATTCCGCGCCGACGTGTGACGTTACCGGTAACTAACCGCAAAGCACGTTTCAATCAAATCCAGCCTTTATTTTGGAACCGCTATTCGGTACCGACGATTGTGGCAAAAATATTTTCTTCCGAAACACCATTGTAGTAAATTTTAAAAATTATTTTCGTATTGTACGGGTTGCCTCACAAAAAGAATACATAGAGCAAATATATTTACTTTATTTAACCACCCAGAGAGGGTAAGCCAAGTTTTTGGTTACAACAGAAGCAACAGAAAGTCATTATCATAAAAGAAGCCAATAATTATTTAATATATACCGGGTGGACTAGGTTTTTCTTAAAGGTCCGTAACAATCCATAGGAACCGCTTTTCTATGTAAAAATCTCCTAAATTAAGTATGAAAAATAAATATTAAATATAAAAAAAATAAAGGTATTTCTAAAATATGATATATAATTTCAGGATATCTCCCACGATCTTTTATACCAAAAAATAATAATAGCACTTTATTTCCAACAGGTAATATGACCCATTTACAGGAAATCATGAATATAAATCATATGATATATTAATTACAGAGGACGTAAAAACTAATCTTAAATCTACTAATTTTAAAACTAAAAAAAAAAAGAAAAAAAATAGGAAAGGATAAACCTCAAAGTTGTCGCCTAGTTTTCAAAATGGATATTTTATCTGGATAACTGAATAAAGAAAGTTGATTGATGTCTCCCTTTCAGCCGCGGCACAAGAAAACGTAATTGTTCCAGAAAAAACGGACAACCGATTCCGTAATGAACTAAGTTGTAGAGAAATGATTGACAAATTGCATGTCTCTGCGTTCAACTAGGGACAGTTCAGGGAATATTCCTATTATGATTTTTTTACCTATATACAATAAAATTGGAATGTATTATTTTTGAAGTTTAGGTTTCATTAACTCAGATTCAGCTTCGCATCTTGTGATTTTATATTACAATAAAGTCATCATTATTACTGTTGTGAGCCCACATAACCACCTGGATCACCTCGAGTCTCCTCTCCGATTCGCAGTTATCACTCGTGTTGAGTTTTTCGTAAAGGTCGCGCAGTTTGTTTAAAAAGTCGTCGCACTGCGAATTAATATTGGCGAAACTGAAGTACACGCCCGTCACTGACACGTCACTATTTTAAAATGTCTAGCGACATTTTAAAATAGAGAAATTAGTCGATTAAGGTAGATTTGTCACAATTTGTCTCAATAATTTCTTGATGATGATAAAGTACTTTGAAAATGTTTCATTATCGACGAAAGACAATTGAATAATTTCAAATAAACAAAGTAAAACGGAAAAATAATGTATTCAAGTATAATTTTTATTAAAACGACAATTCAAAAATAATTATGCAAACATGGGCACAGTGGATGATTGCTCCTTAAAACAATGTCATCAATGGGAACCTGGCTAAAATTTCTTTACCATTTGCGCCAAAATGTTACGGTGCACAATGAAACCAATATATTCTGTAATTGTTATAAACCTCTTGAAAGTAATGCATAATGCGGGAAATAACAATTGTTATTACATAAAAAAATAAGTCCAACACACTACCTCTAAAGGTTTAGAGTGTAAACTTGAAGAAAAATGTTTGGAAAAACAATAAATACACACAAATTATTGAAAACCAGAACGAAGCAGATTCCAAAAAAGCACTAAAAGTACAATAGAAATGGTCAGTTCACAAATAAACCTAGATAACCAAAGCTTTCCCTAAGTAAAACTTCTAAATGTGACTGCGCACACCGTAATCGTAACCAACTAAACTCTATTTCAGAAACGTTTAGAGTAATAAAATCTCATTAGGTATGCATGAACGAGTACTTAAGCCACTTTGCAAATAGTAACAGCCATATTAATAAGATGTTTTGTTTCTATTTAAATTAAAAATAAAATATAATATTTGTAATATATCTACAAAAAAAGCTCAACAATAGCTTAAAGAAATATTTTTTGCAGAACTATTTGTATGACGATTTGTAACTTGTATAAGGTACTGCAAATTTTAAAAATGAAAAAAAAATGGCATTAATTTTTAATTATTTTTTACTTGTGTTGGCTATTAAAACCATTACCATGCTCTCCGAATGAAAAATGCTATTTATAAAGAGCTTCAAGTGTTTTCATGTCCAGCCCAGCACACAGTAGTCAAATTTCTTATTTTATGAGTTTAGACTCTTCTGAACTAGCTTATAATTTGAATATGGGTTGCGTCGTAGTCAGGGCCGTATTTAATATTATTTGTTTGAAAATTTCGCCACATTAAGGATTTCCTTTTTGTTTCCAGATCCGCTCCGATATGCGAATCAACTGAAATACCGCAGGAGGCGACCGAAACACAAGATGAGTGACAAATCCAAGTGGTGCGATCGACTTTTCGGCAAGCGGTTGATCAAGTGCGACTCCACGGACAACCACAACGATTTTCGCGGGTTTCCCACGTGCGAAGTGCTCAAAAACGTGTCAGTGACGGGCGTGTACTTCAGTTTCGCCAATATTAATTCGCAGTGCGACGACTTTTTAAACAAACTGCGCGACCTTTACGAAAAACTCAACACGAGTGATAACTGCGAATCGGAGAGGAGACTCGAGGTGATCCAGGTGGTTATGTGGGCTCACAACGACAACTACGGCGATTTCGAGATGAGCCACAGAGACAGTCTCTTGGGCTTGCCTTGGTTTGCAATGCCGTTCAGTGAAATCGACTTGAAAGTAAGCCAATTGTTTTTGAGTTTTACAAATGAAAACAATAATGATGTACCTTATGCACCAGGTTTTTCATGACAACCTCTAATAGTTTATTTTGTGCAATATAAACTCTATAAACATCAGTGGAAATGAGGGGGTATAGTTTGTGATTCTTTAGAACAGAAAGTTACCATTTTTAGTTATCTGCAAACAGATAGGTGTATTTTTGTTTGGTCCGCATGCGCCAATCAAAGCTTAACAGAAAACGTTAAATTATTTATGAAACGAAAGAAGGCGGCATTGCAGAAATTTAAAAATTCTAAACTGGAGTCTGACTGGATACGCTGTAAACCTCTAAGAAAGCCTAAATCTCAGCTCTCACATACCAGATATTCTTTAAATTTATTTTTAAAGGTTTCCCATGAAAAGCTAAAAAATCCGTTACATAACTCATAGTTAAACAGTTTGGCAGCCCCATAAAAGTAGACATCTTAAACTAAGCTTTTTGCGTAAATATTGTGGAGTTCCACTTCTAAGTATTTTATGCACGTGACAAGCCAGATAGAGTTTTAATCAATCTTGCATATTTAACAATCTTTTATTTCACGACTCACATGGTCCCTTGGTTTACATTTAAATATATTGCAAGAATTTCGAATTCTTTGTAATCTTTTCGTAAACTTAAGATCAAGACAAGAACCATGTGCAACGTCTGCTTGTCTGCTTAATTCCAATGTCAGAAAACGATAGAGTGACTCAATTATCATTGACAGGCATCCACAAAATATTGTTAGTCTTATATAATTTCCTGGAGAAATTATTACCCTTTAAAACATTTTACAAACTGGATTTTTGAGAATACCTAGATTTTGTTATTCACTTACCACGGCAATAGCTTTGATTTAATTTAAAATATTTAAATATTTAAAAAAATTTCGCTTTTGAAGAACATAACACGACAGTTGATGATATTGTTAATTATGCAGCATTCTTTAAATCAGAGTAGACAATTATCGAGAAAAATTAAGCAGTTATTACCTATTTCTATTACTATATTCGAAAACTAAGCCTTCAGAAATATGTTTTGTATGAAAAGAATATAAGAGACACCAAGCCACTCTAGATTTTTGAATTCAGGAAGCAAATTTCTAATTTTAACAGCCAATGATTTTTTTTTCTATCGCGATCAACTTTTCTTAATTTCGATGTTGTCCTATTTATTGTATACATATATGTTGGAAGAGGTCCGTGAGAGCAGTTTGTTTTCATTTAAAAATAAGAGAATTTTTTCATAGAGAATTTATTCGGAAATTTTTGAAGAAATATTTTAAATTAAGATGAGCCGAGTTTCAGTTACGTCGCTAGAACCCATCTCAATATGTGCGCAGTCCTGCTGCCTTGACTCATAGTTGATTGCGGCAGTTTTTGGATATGTTTATATGTATATATATATATATATATATATATATATATATATATATATATATATATATATATATATATATATATATATATATATATATATATATATATATATATATAGACTCCGTTTAATGAAATTATTATGGGGTATTGCTATAGAAGGTCGGCAACTCCTTTAGCCCAATACCGTAGTCCGGATAGATCAGGGCCGTTCCGAAGACTCCAAATCTTGCCTATATCAAATCAGGGCACTCGGTGAGCCGATGATGATGATACGGGGTCTCCTCCCCTGTCATGTACCATCTGCACTCCGGGTCGTCTCCAATGCCTAGCAAGCAAATATGCCTCCTAGGCTTGCAATCTTCTGTGTAGGCTCTACACTCTTTTCTGGTCAGTCTAAGCAGGGCTCCCTAGTCCGAGAGTGGGAGGGCCCATCCATCATAAGCCTCGCCCGCCTCATTCCCGGAGTAACTCTCCAGCCCACCGCGGCCCGCTCTCTCACCCAGGCCTCGAGAGCTCCCCGACTCACGCACGGGGCATCTCCAAGCGGGGCTGTGGTCCCGTATACTTATGCGAGGAGCCCTCCCTGGCTAAGGCGTCCGCTGCCTTATTGCCCCGGATCCCGGTGTGATCCAGGACCCAGACCAATGTGACATTCCTCGTCTCGGACACTTTCCTCAGTACCCATTTGGACTCCCTTATCAACAAGAAGCAAGTACGCATTGACTTCAGCGCTATGAGTGCAGCCCTACTAACAGAGCAGAAGAATACGCTCCTGCTTCCGTGGTTAAGCCGAAGCACCTCTCTGGTCGCCATCAATATAGCGAAAATTTCCGTGTGATACACAGTGCAGTACTGACCCAAAGGGACCGACAAGCTCTCTCTCCACTCTTCCCTTGATGGGAAGAGAAAGGTCCACTTCTCAAAGAAGATCATCTCGTGGATCATGACGTCACTCGGCATGCTCATGACACCGGGATCCCCGGGCCAGCCCTCTAAAATGTCGTACGTGCCCCGATTGAAGGTTCCCTCTCTCCAGAGCCCGCAGCTCGCTAGCCTGACAACCGTCCTGGCCGCCTCCATCCGCACCCGATCCGACAGACAGGGCAAACCCACCCAAGCCTCTAGGGCCCTCATGGGTGACGTCCTCATGGCGCCCGTTATACAGAGGCAAGCCAATCTCTGCAGTTTGTCAAGAACTAGCCTTGCTCCTGCTCTTTTGGTCTCCGGCCACCATCCCACTGCCCCATGCGTGAGCACAAGCACCACCATGGTACCGTAGATCCACTGCCCCCTACCGCTCTCCGGCACGCCCACAGAGCTCCAAAAGCAGATCTGGTCCTTGATCTTATATATTCCTGGAAGGTCAACTTGGAGTCCAACCATACCCCCAAGTACTTGACGCTTCTACTTGCAGAAAGAGGCACCCCATCCATCGAAATGTTGAGGTTACGCTCCAACTTAATCTTCCTAGTGAAGATGACCATCTCCACCTTGTCAGGATTGACAGCTTAGTTGCTGTCCCGGCACCGTTGTGAGAATCTTACCAATGACCCGTTCAGGAGCCCCTTCCCACGTGCGTACCTTGTATCATTATCACAAGATCGTCTGCATATGCCTGAGCATAGACCCCGTGTTCTTCCCTCAGAATATGCAATATCTCGTTCACCATTAGGGACCACAGGAAGGGGGACAGCTCCGTGATGAGCCGATGGAGACCTGCTCCCCACCCAGTCTTGCCTCAACCCTCCGGTCGTTTAGCATGGAGCGGATCCATTTTACAATGGCCGTCCCTCCAGTACGCTCCACCGCTCTGCAGATCGAATACAGGGCCGTATTATTAAAGGCCCCTTCGATGTCAGCGAACACGCACAGCAACAGCCGTCCCGAGCCCATACCCTCCTCCAACCTGGTCTATAGAGGAGGCCATATTTTTTTGCTTGTTCTATACTACAATTTTTGCAACTTCATTGTGGCGGCCAAGGTATGTCGTGTTAGATAGAGCTGGGAAATCCGCCGTGATATGTTCAATTGTTTCTCCAGGCGTGCCACACTTTCGGCATATGCCCACCACGTTTTTCTTTAGACGGGTTTTTCCATATCATCTGGTTTTTATCGTACGATCTTGGATGGCCACTATAAATCCTTGGGTCTCTTTATACATTTGGCCTTTTTTCAACCAAGTGAGTGAACCCTCTTTGTCTATGCGCCCATCCTGTAGAGTCTTCGGGTATTTGCAGTGCTTTCTCTTGCCATGATTCGGTCCTACTCACCCCTGGTTGCCTTTGAGTTTCTGTATGGTTTCTTAGATTATTTTTATTGTTATTTTATTGTTGTTGTTATTATTATTAATTATACTTTCTTGGAGCTTACGAATATTTTGAAAATTAGCCAGAGACGGTCGGTATTACTAGTGAAAATAATAATTTTTGGTGGGCGCAAGCTGCGGTCAAAATTATTTCGTTTTAAATGCTTCTCCGGAGCGAAGGAAGACATCCGGTTTTTGCCGTTTTATTGACTTCTCAACCGCCGAAGGTTTGTTTACCTTGCAGTAATTAAAGAATTGTTTGGGTTGTGTATCATCTGGCACCGCGGAATGTAAGTAAATACCTCGCCGGTTCGGTCGGCTTCGCATCCAAGTCGAGAAGTCGGGTTTGTTAAATAAACAAGCCGTTTTTTTATCTGTAGGTAGGTAGATGGAGAGGCCGTCGGCGCATTACACAGGGTGTTGTACAGTAAGATGTACTCATTAAATAACTCAGTAACGTAGGTAGTTTTGTCCTAATCGAGCGCCCTCTATATTGTCATCTAGTAAAATTAGGCATTTTTTACGCTTTTCAAGCATATATAATTGTATGTAAGCATATTTTGAGTTTTAAAAATAACGACGTAAATGGCATTTTTCTAAGATTAAATGCATTTTTATGTATTGGGCTACTTTACTTTACTAATAAAACAAAGGATTACTTGCCGTTTTGACAATTTAACAATAATTTGGTAAAATACCTGGGCATAACTTTAAGATCTCAAAACCAAGTGGGCCAAGCGGCTTGGAACTGTGATTAAGAACTATGCTATACGAGTCTACTACATGCATTCCAACGAAAATTTACTTGATGGCGCAGAAATATATTTTAACAGGATATATGGTAAAATTTCTCGTTAATTCAATTATTTTGTTATATTTTTTCTTTCACAAGTAGTTTTACCAACATAGGAATTTTTTTAGTAACGAGTTTATAGTCGGAATTATACCCATTTGTAATGACGTCATTTTTCTCTATCTTTGTTTAGCAGGTTCGAAACCAACAAAATTTTCAAAAAAAATGAATTAAAAAAAATTTACATACCTTTATTTAAGGTTATGTGAAACTTGTCGAAAGACATTTCAAAGTTTTTAAAAATGTAATGGCATAAAATCCAAGCAAAATACCGCATAAACCAGATATTTTAGTCCAACACTACATAGGGAAAATGTGACTGTTAATTAGCAACTTCTACATTACATTAAAAATTGGTATAATTGCGATTATAGTAACGAGAATAACAAATAATAAAAATGAGAAAATTAGGTGCCCCATTGAATTCTAAAAAGAGTTCTA